CCCTGTCCCTGCGGTGCCACGGGGATGCGGCAGAGCCGGACAAGGGGCTTTGGAAAAGGCATCAGGGTCACCGGGCGAACAGGCTTCGCCTCGGGGCGGCTCCTCGAGCCCCCCAGCACAGACATCCCGTCCCCCCTCCCCGTGCCCCTCTGTGCCCCGCGGTGCCACCGGCTCCGGGGTGGCCTCATCCCGACCCCCCAGTGCCCTCGGCCACGGTCCGGGGCCGGGTGCCCACCCAGCACCGCGGTGCCCGACGGCCGAGGTCCGGTCCCGTGGCCATTCCCAGCCTTTCCCATCCCCGTGGAAGCAGAGGGGTTCCCGGTGTCGGTGACACTCCGGCTGTGCCGCCATCCCTTCCAGGCATCTCCAGAGCCACCGAGACATTGCATTTGGAAAAGCCATCCGGGAGAAGGCAGAGCCCCAACCCACGTGGCCACTGCTCAGCTGTGCTGACCCCTCGGCCACGCTGACCCCTCAGTCACACTGACCCCTCAGTCACACTGACCCCTCGGCCACACTGACCCCTGGGTCACACTGACCCCTGGGTCACACTGACCCCTCAGCCTTGCTGACCCCTTGGCCACACTGACCCCTTGGCCACACTGACCCCTTGGTCACACTGACCCCTCAGCCACACTGACCCCTCAGTCACACTGACCCCTCGGCCAAGCTGACCCCTCAGCTGTGCTGACCCCTTGGTCACGCTGACCCCTCGGCCACACTGACCCCTCAGTCACACTGACCCCTCGGTCACGCTGACCCCTCAGTCACACTGACCCGTCAGCCGTGCCGACCCCTTGGCCACGACAACCCCATCGGCCGTGCCAACCCCTTTGGTCACCTCTTGGCCACACCAACCTATCAGCCGCGCTGACCCCTCGGTCACACTGACCCCCCCCGGCCACAGCAACCCCTCGGCCGTGCCGAACCCTTGGCCACCCCTTGACCACGTCAATCCATCAGCCGTGTCGACCCCTCGGTCACACTGACCAGTCCTCCACGCCAACCTATCGGCCACACCGTCCCCTCGGCCGCGTTGACCCCGTGGCCGTGCTGAACCCTTGGCCAACCCACCGGCCGTGCTGAACCTTTGGCCACCCCTTGGCCGTACCAACCCAGCGGCCGTGCTGACCCCTCGCTTGCCCCTTGGCCACGCTGGCCCCTCAGCCACCCATCGGTCGTGCCAAACCCTTGGCCAGCCCTTGGCCCCACCAACCGCTTGGCCACGCCAACCCCGTGGCCGGGTTGACCCCTCGGCCACACTGACCCCTTGGCCCCACCAACTGCTTGGCCACACCAACCCCGTGGCCGGGTTGACCCCTCGGCCACGCCGACCCCCTTTGGCCACGCCAACCTACCGGCCACGCCAACCCTTCGGCCGTGCCGAGCCTTCGACCACCCCTCGGCCCTCCTGGCCCCCCCGGGCCACGCCAACCCCTCGGCCGTGCCGCCCCCGTGGCCACCCCCGGGCCCCGCCGTGCCCCCCCGTGCCGCGCATGCCGTGGCGCCGGGCCCGGCCGCGGCGGTTACTGTGATTCTCATGGCTTCTCAACGACTTGGGTTTAATCCGCTGTACAAAGGGAGACACTTTCTTTTTTTTTTTTATTTTTTTCCTCCCCCCCCTCCGCTTCGAAGGGGGTGGGTTTGGTTTTTTTTTTTGGTTTTTCGGTTTTTTTTTTAGAAGCTGTTTAGGAGTATTTTCCGTTGTCCAGCCGAGCGCCATCGCCCCCCCTTCTTCCCCCCCCACGCCGCCTCCATCAGCCTGTCCGTGACCTCCCCCTCCCGACCCCCCCAGACAAAACAACCCGGAGCACTTGGCTCCCGCTGGCCCCGTCCCGGACAGCCCTCACTGCCCATGCATGTGCCACCCGCGGAGCCACCCTCACGCCCACTGCATGTGCACAGCCCGGCTCCCGCCGCGGCCCCGCCATCCACACACTCTTGGTTCTCACCCAGACGGACTCACCTGTGGGTTTTCGTTCCCGGTTTTAATTTTTTTCCCCCAGGGTCGGTTTGACTTCACCCTTATTTTGTATGGATTTTTTCCGGAGGAGATTTCTCCTTCTCCGGAGTCATGGAGGTGCGGCCATTCGCCTCCCGCCCTTGACGTTGTGATACACATCCCCCACAGAGATCTATGTTTCTTATATTATATTATTATTATTAATTATTATTATTATTATGTAATAAATTTATAAGAAAGCTCTGCTTTGTCCTGTGGTCTCTCGGCTCCAGCAGCCCCTCCCGTGCTGGCCTGGCCCTGTCCCTGGGGACAAACAGGAGCCCCAGAGGGACAGCAGTGCCTGAATTTTGGGGTGCCCACGGCTCCCACAGGTGCCAGGACATGTCCTGTGCTCACGATGCCACCGCCCCCAGTGTTACACCTACAGCAGCTCCCAGCCACCCACGGGGGTCCCTGGTGCCAGGATTCTTGGGTGCCCTCCCTCTCCGGGTGCCCCCACTGACCTGAATGCCCCCTCCTCTCCTGGGTGACCCCCCCTCTCCTTAGTGCCCCCCACCCTCTCCTGGGTGTCCCCTCTGCTTGGTACCCCCTGGATGCCCCATCTCTCCTGAGTGCCCCCCTCTTGCGTGCCCACCACTCTTCTGGGTGCCCCACGTTTCTGGGGGTCCCTACCTCTCTTGGTTGCCCCCCCTCCTCACCTGGGTGTCCCCCCCTCTCCTGAGTGCCCACCGCTCTCCTGGTTGTGCCCCCACTCTCTTGGTGCCCCCCCCCACCTGGGTGTCCCCCCACTCTTCTGGCACCCCCTCTCCTGGGTGCCCCCACTCTCTTGCTGCCCCCCCTCCCACCCACCTGGGTGTCCCCCCACTCTCTGGGTGCCCCCCTCTCCTGGATACCCCCCAGTTTTCCTGGGTACCCCCCACCCTGCACCCCCCCCAGCCCAACCCAGTGCCCCCCAGCAGTGCCCCCCAAGCCCCGCGGTCACACCAAGCATATATTTTATTGAAAGACCAAGTGGGTGACACGGCGTGGGGACAACCGGGGGTCGTACAGTGGCTCGGGGGGGGGCTCTCGGGGCTCCTCTGGCTGCTGAGTTACACATAAATATCGGGACATAGAGCGGGTGGAGTTATAGTCACGATAGCGCTGGGCGAGAGGGGCCGAAGCAAAGAAACCACCAGGCACAGCAGTGAGGAGCAGGGGGGGGGCCCCCGACGGGGACCCCCCGATGGGGACCCCCCCCCCCCGGGGCCCGACCTGTGCCCCACGGCCCCTCGTGGGGGGAGCTCGGCCCCTCCCCGGGCAGGGGGATGGCGGAGCGGTGGCGGGGGGGAGCGGGGCCGGGGGCACCGACACGAGGGGGGAGCCGGGGGCGGGAGACCCGGGGGCTGCAGCTGGAGGGGGGGGTGTTTTTGGGCCGTTCCCGGGGGGCCGCAGCGCTGGGGGGGACCCCCCCCGTTCCTCAGGGTGGGGGGGGCTGGCACTGCGCGGGGGCTTCGTGGAGACGCTCGCCCTGGCACATCCCCCCCCCCTCCCCGTGCCCCCATCGGCCCCCCCGCAGCCTCCCCACAGCCCCGCTCACCCCCTTAAGCCCCCCCCCCCTCGGTCCCCCCCCC